AGGTGATACAGGTCGCTGGAAGTTTGGTAGTTGTGGAAACGTCTGACTTTTAACTACCACCACCACCACCACCACCGCCACCGCCACCACCGCCACGGTACCACTGTCATCCATCTCGAGCCATTCTTGCCTAAAGCCCCTTCAAACTTCTATCACTAGACATATGTTTGGTCAAGTTGAAGGTCTACCAATAACAGGTCCTTTTCCCCTTACACCACGCTAGATAACTGTATTCTTGTGCTTATGGAAGAATTCGGGCGTAGACTGGAAGAGAGAGAGAGTCATACATCCTACAATGTAACATTCGTAGGCTCAACACAGCAATACAATCCTTGGGTGTAAACTGAATGTATTATTTATCTCCTGAGCATTTCATTTTAATGACATTAATTCCTGTGCGTAATTAAATACCACCACTGAACACCCCTGCAAGCATAAACACCAATGTTCGGAGAAAAGTGAGTTCAGGTAGTGTAAAGCAACAGTGAAGGTAGAGGCGATGTTCCCGTGTGGTGAGTGAACTAACCTGGATCATCCGGTGGGTGTGATATGTGCTGGGAAATTATTCAGGTGTCCATGGAGTATCTCGGCAGCACTTCACCCCCTGGTCCTGGATTACCGAAAAGGTTAAAGGTCTTCCATGCCGTGTCATTAACGTTTAATTCTTGACGGGATGGTAATACGATATTTGAACATAACAACCAGGTGGAACGAAAAAATATATAATGTCAATAATATAAATGGATTTACAAATATCAGATTAACAGCAGAATGAGTGAAGAATTGTATTTCTTTTATTTCTGTATCATAAAAATGTTGTATTCATGTGAGTTTGTCGCGGTGCATATTGCAATACTGTAATTTACATTTTCCAGCTGGGACCAACTGATGCAGACGGACCTTGTGCTGAGTGTCGTTAACATTGCAGTCCAACACGTGAACTCGTTAATAAACATGCGTCAGGGACTGCAACTAGAGGCTGATCAAAGTGTACACAGTATATACCCGCGACTGAGGTCCAGGCTGTGATGGCTTGTCTTCCTCCCTGACACAGGACACTCACATAACTTCTCCCCAGCCAAGGTCTAAACTCATCTTTTTCACTTTACAGACGCTGCCTCTCCCCAACGGGCCAGTCAACAGAAGAAGTGCGGACGGTGGGATCTTCGGCACGGCTCCCAGGGTGTCTTCTGACGGAGGGAGAGTTGGAAGAAGCCTTGGAGGGAGTCTCAAGCGAGCGTGTAGCAGCGGAGGGAAGCCGAGAGCGGTAGAAGACAGTGCCACAGGAGACACAACAGGAGCCAGCAGTGGGAGAGGCAGAGACGGTAGAGGAAGTTTCAGAGACACCGCACCTTCAACGCCTGCTACAGCCACACCCACCAGCTACCGGCGAGCGACGCCCAACCAGAGAGCGGCGGCAGGGGCGGCGGCGGTAGTGACAACGTCAGGCCCTCCACCGCGCTACCAGATCTCTGAATACACTTTCGAGAGGGAACAGCCAGACTCACCCTTCTCTGACGAGAAGGACAGCGAGGAGAAGAAAAAAAGTAAGTGAAATTAGGATTTTTTTTTTTTTTTATGTTAGCCCATGTGTTTAGGAAGAAGAGAGGAGGATAACCACAAGAAAAGTACTCAGTAGTGTTGGTGGTCTTACTGGAGTAGTGCTGGTCTTTTGCGACCAGAGACAAGAACAAGGAGGGGAAATATATATCGCGTTATTGTCTTATATTACGAAAGGAGATCTAGCATCAGGAAGTACGAAGTAATAGTGAAGGCAAATGCGATGTTCGGCAAAGGCGATGTTCTCGCTTCATGAGTGAATTAAATTGGACCCTCAGGTAGTTGCGATATATGCCGGTGTGTGTTGGAAAGTTATCCAGGTGTCTATTGCTTATCCCGGCTGCACTCAACCCTCTGGTAATAGGACAAGCGAGGTTATCCTTAAACTATATCTCGCGTATGTGAGATCACAGTTAGATTACTGTATGCGAGTCAGCTTTGGTCACCGCACAATAAAATGGATATCGATTCTCTGTAAATCATTCAGAGGAGGATGACAGAGCTAATCCCAGGCATTAGGAGCCTCGAGTAAAGAAACAAATTAAGAAAACTGAATTTGCGCCCTCGAGACACGTAGAGTGAGGGGCGACATGATTGAAGTGTATACATGGAAGTTAGGGTAAAATAAAAATGATATGACAAAGGTAATTAAACTGTCAAACCAGGGGCGAACACGGAGCGATAGTTTTAGATTAGAACTGGTTTGGAAATCAAGTTGACGAGTGGAACATGCTACCAAACACCATCACTAAGTCGAACTCGAATAGAAACTTCCTCCATAAGTTGGATAATTATATGAGTAATACGGGTTGGATGTAAACCAGTTGCCAATAGACCCGCTGCAGTTTCCTTTATTCTTATGTTATCAGTACCCAGTGAATAATGAACATAATAGCAATCATCAAGTTAGTATAGTGTGATGTTTACTGGAGGAAAGGTTAACGTCTTTAGTACCATATCAACGAGTTCGACTATTGGGTAATTTAACCCCTTAAACACAATAACTTAACCCTTTCGGTACAGGAACTTAATATCTTTAGTATGATTTCTTAGCCCTTGAATAGGTCGGCCGGTGTGGGACACAATTTCACTTTTCCCGATGAACTAACTTCTTTGGTGAGATGACAACCCCTTGAGCACCATGATTTGATCTCTGGAGTATGAAGTCAATGTTTGGAGTTTGAGTATGATAGTTTGCACTGGGGGCAGTAAGTCTTCATCCTCACCCCTGAAAGAGCTTGGGCACTTCGTGTTTTCTTATTTCCTTGTGGTTATCAGCATATACCTAGATCACGCGCACCTACAGTGATTTACTTGCATATATATATATATATATATATATATATATATATATATATATATATATATATATATATATATATATATATATATATATATATATATATATATATATATATATATATATATATATATATATATATATATATATATATATATATATATATATATATATATATATATATATATATATATATATATATATATAACGAAGAGGAGAACCAGGGAAAACACAAACATCTTGACTAAGTTGGGTTTCTTTAATTACTAACGTTACCGAAAATCATTTTCCATCATCCACAAATTTCTCTTAGACTAGTCTTCAAAATCCAGAGTTCAATTAGAAAAGTCTTTAAAATTTAAGACACCATACCCACACATCTGCAGTCCTCAGTTGTTTACCAATTTACATGTGCTAGCTGTAGGGCAGCATATATAGGTAAAACAAAAAGAAATTTGATAACTCGCATCCATGAGCGCTTGGGTCATTCACTCCGAACAGGCCAGTTAATCACGCAACCACCACATTCAGCTATCCGGAACCACGCCCACCAACATGACCACCCGTTTTCGCAGTCTGATTTCTCTGTTCTTGGCAGGAGCAACTGTGAAGCGGACCTCCTCTTTATGGAAGCCTTGTATCAATATAAAGTACAAACATCCATTTGTGATATGGCTTCCTGTGAATTGTCGTTATTTTCACACTAAGGCTCGTCTAAATTAAGGTAATAACCCCCAGTATATTTTAGGGTTTTTTTCTGATTTTAGTTTTGCAAGTAGGTCTTTCCTCATTTTTATCGGTTTTAAATTATAATGTTTTTTTTTTAATTCGCGGAAGGTAAATTTTGGTATAATGTTACGTTTTTATTGTATATCACCTGTATTTTTTTTATTTTTTTAACTTATTGTTTTCTAGGCTCTGATGATGGAAAATGATTTTCCGAAACGTTACTAATTAAAGAAATCCAACTTAGTAAAGATGTTGTGTTTTCCCTGGTTCTCCTCTTTGTTATGAAACTACGCTTTCCACGTAACAAGTCCATTGCTGAGGTTTATATATATATATATATATATATATATATATATATATATATATATATATATATATATATATATATATATATATATATATATATATATATAAATCCACAATGAAAACGTGGATAAGATAAATCTTGATAAAATCACACGGGAAAATGGAAACAACGAGTACCTTAGCTTTCGTCTTCATTCAAGACATCTTCAGAGGCAACTGAAGATCAGATATATATATATATATATATATATATATATATATATATATATATATATATATATATATATATATATATATATATATATATATATATATATATATATATATATATTACCGATACTAGCACATATAGATCTTGTTTTCATAGCCCTAAATAGAAATGATCATTGAAGAAAAATCAAATCATGTCAGAAAGACTGGGAATAGCCACGACCGCCGCTGATGTAATGTTTTAGTAATGACTGAATTAATAGTGAGAAGGGCAGTGTTATCCCGGTGGCATCATGCGTTAGCTTCAGCAACTGGTTGTGTCTATTTATACTGTTTACCATTTTTCATCAGTTTCAGACACATTAATTTTCCTTTTTGTTACTTGACCCAAAAAGCATAGAAAACGATACACTGTGGTGGTATACAGACCATGGTGTTACACAGACTGTGGTGTTATACAGACTGTGGTGTTATACAGACTGTTGTGTTATACAGTCTGTGGTGTTATACAGTCTGTGGTCGTATATAGAGAATGGTGTTATACATAGGAGCGAAATTATTGATGTAATGTTTCTATTTTCCTCTATTTTTGTGGTGATGCTGCTTCTCACTGACTAACGAGTCTGAACAAACTTTTGTGTGAAAATATGTAATCGTGATATTTTAGACAATTAACTTTACGGGAAATGTTAAGATCGGAAATATGAAGTCATTTTCAAGTAAATACGCGATGTCTTTGTGATAGAACATTACAGACTGTTAATTTTTTAAAGAAAATATAATAGTTGAGGCTATATATATATATATATATATATATATATATATATATATATATATATATATATATATATATATATATGCAAGGAAAAAAAAGCGCTTGGGAACTTCGTGTTTTCTTTGCTTGTGATTATCAATATATACCTAAATCACGATACTTATTGATTTACTTGCATATATATATATATATATATATATATATATATATATATATATATATATATATATATATATATATATATATATATATATATATATATATATGTCTTGAAGCAAAGTGATGTTACTCCTCTTCGAACAGTGTCCAGACTGTTTATGCTTATTCTTGTATCAGATTTTTGCGAGCTTCGAAGGTGATGCACATCGACATGGTTTGAAGTAACAATAAACATTTCAGACCTCTTATCGAAAGTGACAGGGGGATTTGTGATCGAGGTAAACAGTCAACTCGTCCTTGATGCTTTTTCTAGACAGAATCTGTTTGGTAGATGCTTTCTTGTTGGTGTACCAACGTCCACGTGTTATGCAGTGGCAGGAGTCTGTTCCGTGTAGCCTCCTTTGATGAAGTAATAACACTGTAGGGGTCAAACACTAGATGTATCTTATCACTGTCTTTGGCTTCGGTGCCCAGTGTTGTGTTGAAGTGATTTCCCCACTTTGCACAAGTCTCGATCCACGCCGATTTTCCCACTGCCTGTACTACAGCGACTCCATTTACGCCAGTCACCTTTCAGCTGTGTACGTCATTACCTCTTCCTCGGCAGCATCCCGCAAGGCAATGGATAAAACTCGCTCCGACTCGTTCCACCGTTTGGGTTTAATGAAGTGGATGACCTTGACCTCTATGTGTAAGATAAAGTCTCCTCCTCATGCCACGTTCACAATTTAGACTGAACACCATTGATCTGCACATTACTCCTGTGGGTCTTACGTAGATCTGCCATCCTTTACTACTTCGCAGGAGGTGATAAATAACGTGACCTCATATAATGTGCCCACAGAGGATGACCTCACTTTACCAGATGACCTAACAACGATATCCTCACACAATATGACCGCTGAGGGTGATCTGACCACGAGAAATGAGGTTGACGAGTTCCATAACAATTTAAGTTACGAGTTACTTAATGCAGAAAGGCAGAATATACCATACAGAAAACTCAGATAAAATAACAATGACCCGAAATGAAAAAAAAATAATTATTTAAAGAATATTATTGGACAAAGGAAGGCTATAGGTAGGAGAATGATTCGTGGTGAAGTTTACCTCCGAGATTATTATAAAGTACATGCCAGTAGGGTTAAGACCGAGATAGAAATGCAAAGAGGAATAATGAACTGAAGGTAGCAAGGGAGGCGAAGTCAAACCCCCAGGGATTCTTCCAAATGTATCAAACTAAAACACGAGGCAAGATTGGACCAATACAATCAGATCCGACGAGCTAACTGATAACGACGGAGAAATGAGCAATAATCTGAACAGATATTTTTCATCAGTTTTCACAACCGAAAATTTAAACATGACCCCCTAGGCACCGACTATCTATAGAGAGAGTGAAGAAAATAAATTAAGCGAGATAGTAGTGACTAGCAACGATGTTTGTAAACAAATAGATAAACTAAAACCTAATAAGTCGCCAAGTTCCGACGAGATATATGCCAGAG